GGGGGGGGTGTTGTTGTTCAGTTTTTAAGGATAAAATTACGTACATTTTGTAACATCAAGTTTCGCGTCTGTGGGGTAGCGGTTAGACGCCATGCTGTCGCACGCAGGAGACCCGAGTTCGGTTTTTCGAGTGGGAAGGATTTTTATCGAGTATCTCGGTCTTCCTGCTTGGATGTTGTATCCCTTTCAGCCCGGGTTGACCCTGATAGGCAAGCTCAAAGGCCCGCCTCGTAGACATCTAAATTGTGTCGATGAAGGTGTAAAAACAGCCATATTACACCCCCACTCCCTCCCCCAAACAAACAACAGCCTCCTCCAAAAAAAACAAACAAAGCAACACCTCCCCCCCCCAAAAAAAAAACAACCCCAAGAAACATCAACTTCAGACCAGATGTTATTATTTGGAAGCCTCAGGACATTAGACATTGTTCATTTGCTTTGTTTGAATGAAGAGAAGCACCATATTATTTTGTTTTATTCAAGTGAGGGTTTTACGGCACTTACAACACAAATAGGTCTTATTAGTGTCGAAGATTAGAGGTACTTATAAAGAGTAACATACAAAGGAAAGAGGGTGGAGAGATGAGGGCGATAGATGTTTGATTGGAAAGAAGGAGGAAACCACACCCAAAGAGACAGAGCGGAAGAAAAGAAATAGGACCTCACAATAACGGCCATTTAGTCCAAGGAAAAAGCAAGACAGACAAACAGACAGACAGAAAGACCCACCACTGTCACCTTCCGATTGCCCGTAAAAAGAAACAGTAAGAGTGAGTTGCTCAAGTGTTGGAACAGATTGATTTCTGTCTTCCATTTCGGAGATTTTCATTCGCGCCACCTCCCCCCCCCTCCTTCCTCCCATCTCTATCTTTTCCTTTCCCATCTTTGTCTCCTCCCCCACTTTTCAAAAACTGTTTCCTGTTTCTATCTGTCAGTCCGTGCCTTGTACTTGTATTGTTGTTTAACCTGAACATCCTCTCTTCCTCTCAGCCTCCTCCGTTATTGAATTTGAATCCGCCCCAAAGTACGTGACTATTTCTTCTCTTGCTGGGATGAAATCTGCTGACATTTTCCTTTTTTTCTTTCGTTTCCCCCCCC